AAATCTTCTAAAAGTATCCTTTACTGTCACCCTGCTGGGCTGACAAAGGGGGTAAAAGTAAATGTATCGTTCACTCGGCCATCTTTACTTAGAAGTGCTTTCAATTATTTTTAGCCTTCATTCTTTCTGACATATAGATTTGAAGGCTATGTACTACTCTTCCTCTAAGCATGGCTCTATACGTGTCCCTTAAGTTATACCTTGTTTTCATAGTTTAGTTCAAAATAGTTTAATGTTATTTCTTCTCTAATCCCTGAGTTACTTAGGAGTATAACTTATTTTCAAACAGCTGAGAATATTTTAGTTTTTTTGGTAATCCATTTCTGGCTAAATTCCGATATGTCAGAAAACACTCTACAATTGATTATTTTGATCTTTTTTATTGTCCAGTATGTGTCAATTTGGGAGAAACTTCCACAGGCACTTGAAAAAAAATCTGCATTCTGTAGGTATTAGGTGAAATGTTCAATGCATGTCAATTAGATTCATTTGTTAATTACAGTGTTTAAATCTTTTATATATTTTGTCTGATTATTCTAATTACTCAAGAGAGGCACGCTGAAATATCCCATATTATGCTTATAGATTTGTCTAATTCTCCTTTTAGTTCTGTCCATTTTTTGCCTACCATGCTGGCAAAGATTAGAAAAGAATGATAACACAGAGTTAAGAAACAGAGTGGTAAAGGTGTCTTTAAACATCTGTATCTTTGAAATCAGTTATTTTACATTGAGAAACTGATCTTAGGCAGGAAGGGAGACCCAGGCAAGCTCTTCATAGGCACCAAACACTGCTTAGCAGTTACACTGATTCGTAAATTCTCGTTGAAGCCTTACAGCTATCCTTTGATTAAGTATTATTCCCATTCTAGAGATGAGAAAAAAAATGAAGTTTTCAGCGACCTAAAAGACTATATGTATATTCTTTGTAGGAATAAAAGTAGAAACAGCTTTATTAAAGAAAATCAAGAATTTTATAACAGAGACAAAGGAGGCAAAGTTTTTTGGTTAAAAAAAAAAAAGAAACCGTAAGATTTATACATACACTGACATGGAAGGATATTCATAAAAGCCAAGTTAGGAAACAAAGTACAGCATGTGATCCCATTTTTTTTTTTTTAAGTGTGTATAAGTTTACATGTTCATAGAAACTGGCCAGGCACAGTGGTCACACCTGTAAATATCAGCACTTTGGGAGGCTAAGGCAGGCAGATCACTTGAGCCCAGAACTTGAAGTCCAGCCTGGGCAACATGGCGAAAATCCACCTCTACAAAAGTTACAAAACTTGGCCAGTCATGGCAGCACGTGACTGTAGTCCCAGCTACTTGGGAGACTAAAGTGGGAGGATCGCTTGAGCCCAGGAGGTGGCAGTTGCAATGAGCCAAGATCATACCACTGCCCTCCAACTCGGTGACAGGGCCAAATCCTGTAAAAAAAAAAAAAAAAAAAAAACCCAAGTCTAAGATATACATATTAAAAAATTACAATGATAAATGACATAGACATCATTTAGAGGAAAGAAAAACATAATTATACAAGAAGCCTTGTATAATTACTAGAAATTAGATTGCTCATACAATTAAGATTAAACATACCCGAGCTTTCTGGAAGCCAGGACTTAAAGAGAAACACCATTTTACTCTATTTCCTGGACAATGTAATTCAGTATAACACATGACCCCCATTAATTCTCCCTCTCATCTCTGACTGACATCAAGGGAAAATATACAAACACAGACAACACACACATGTATATATAAATATATATATATGTATATTATCACCTCAAACAGCTTTTTACCTAAAGCCAATTTATTCCCTCAGCTATGATTTGCTAACTATGAAGAATGGAGAAAAGGGCAGATGTAGGCCCAAAAGAACAGGCCCAAATCATTTCAAATGAGCCATTTTTTTAAAAATCAGCCTTCTTTAAAGTATGTGAGCCTCCTATGCTCTGCACTTAGATGACAAGAACAATGCATGCATATACGCAATTATGTGTTATATGATTTCTTCCTTCAACATTTTGTTTTTCCTACTCTTTAAGATTTTACATTAAAGAAGTATCTCACGCTTACTTCAGCAGCACACGTACTAACACTGGAACAATACAGAGAAGATTAGCATGGCCCCGTGGAAGGATGACACACAAATTTGTGAAGCGTTCCATATTTTTACATTTGAAAAAAAAAAATATATATATATATATATATATAAATATATATATCTCATTCATTGGAAGGCAGAGTATATCCTAGCAATTTTTACTTGTAACTTCCATGAGATGCATTAGGCTAAATCAGACAGCTTCAGGAAGTTTCAGGATTATAATCTGAAGCTTTTTTATAGAAATAAAAGTAGTAGTAGTCTAAAAACAGCTTTATTAAAGGAAATCAGGAACTTTATAACAAGAACAGAGTAAGTAAACTTATTCTGTTAAAAAAAAATAGTAAATATTTTAGTCTCTGTGGGCTTGAGTCTTTGTCACATATCCACTTTTTTCCAGCCCTTTAAAAATGTAAAAACCATTCTTAGGACAGTAAAAATAGGGTTTTGGAGAGGTGATAATTAAAACAGTGGATTTAATACATAAATTATTTTTAGGAAACTAACCCACAAGAGCAAAATATACAGAAAAGCAAACAGTAGCAACAAAATTTCAGAAGCTAAAATATGGACAACTGGTAACCAATTCACTTAGCAAATTTTAGAAAGGTGAAGTCTAAACCCTGAGTTGAAAACCCCAATATATATCTTGGAATCTTCAAAGTATACAGGAACTGGCAGTACCAGGTACTGCCTGAACTGGATGGAAGAGGAAATTAAATAAGGAAGACTGGGTGAAAGCTGTCTGAGAAGCAGATACATCCTTAGAAGCTATCCAAATCTACCTGATGGTTGGCTACCTACTCTCAGTAACAGAAGTCTGTTGGTTTATTCTTTAGAAAGGGCTTTTTGGGGGTTTTGTTTTGTTTTTTTTTGAGACAGGGTCTCACTCTGTCACCCAGGCTGCAGTGCAATGGCACAATCTCCATCATGACTCACTGCAATCTCCACCTCCTGGGCTCAAGTAATCCTCCCACCTCAGCCTCTCAAGTATCTGGGACTACAGGCACGCCACCGTACCCAGCTAAATTTTGTATTTTTTGTAGAGATGTGGTTTCACCACGCTGCCCAGGCTAGTCTCAAACTCCTGGGCTCAGACAATTTGCCCGCCTCAGCCTCCCAAAGTGCTAGGATTAACAGGTGTGAGCCAGCCTTGTTTTTGTTTTTTCTTCAAAGTCCCTGAACTAGGAGTCACCAGGTATAATTAAAGGTCTATGTACTCTACCAAAAATGGGGGTATGATAGTCCACTCCCTCACACCAAAACAAAACAAAAAGCTAGTGGCCATCCTTCAACCCTCAGGCAAAATGAGTCTTCCCTGATGAACCTGACCCAAGAGGAAACATCTAGACATCAGAGTTTTCTCAAAATAAAAAAGGCTCACTTGGACCATAATGCAATGAAATTCAAAGTCTGCAAATCCCAATCAATTCAGGGTTTTTAGCTATCAATCACCCAAGTATTACTGATACCTGAAGTTAAGACTCCAACATAAAAGTTAGAGAGCAAAACAAATGGAGAAAAATCAACTTAGAAAAAGCAGTCTGCGGCCAGGCACAGTGGTTCACACCAGTAATCCCAACACTTTGGGAGGCCAAGGCAGGCGGATCACCTGAGGTCAGTACTTCAAGACCAGCCTGCCTAGCCAACATAGTGAAACCCCATCTCTACTAAAAATACAAAAATTAGCCTGGTGTGGTGACGTGCGCCTGTAATCCCACATATTCAAGAGGCTGAGGCAGGAGAATCACTTGAACCTGGGAGGCAGAAGTTGCAGTGAGCCGAGATCGCACCACTGTACTCCAGCCTGGGTAACAGAGCAAGACTCCATCTCAAAAAAAAAAAAAAAAAAAAAAAAAAAAAAAAAAAAAAAAAAAAAAAAAAAAAAAAAAAAAAAAAAAAAACCCACCTGCGAAATGAATGTTAACAGCTTTATTCACAATAGCGAAAAACTGAAAACCAAATGTCCGATTTTTTAAAATTACATTATATTCATCCAATGGAAAACTACCATGATTGAAAAGGAACTACTGCTGCACCCTACATCATAAATGAACCTCACAAACACAATGTTAAGCAAAAGTAGCCATCCCAAGAAAGTATATATACTGTATGGTTACTGTATTAGTCCATTTTCATGATGCTGATAAAGACTTAACAATTTACAAAAGAAAGAGATTTAATGGGCTTACAGTTCCACATGGCTAGAGAGGCCTCACAATTATGGCACAAGGTGAAAGGCATGTCTAAGACGGCAGCTGAAAAGAGAGCTTGTGTAGAGAAACTCCCATTTTTAAAATCATCATCTTGTCTCGTGAGACTTATTCACCATCACAAAGAAAGCACAGGAAAGGCCCACCCCCATGACTGAATTACCTCCCACCAGGCTCCTCCCACCACACCTAGGAATGGTGGGAGTTACAATTCAAGATGAGATTTGGGTGGGGACACGGCCAAACCATATCATTCTACCCCTGCCCCGCCCCCACCAAATCTCAAGTCTTCACATTTCAAAACCAATCATGTCTTCCTAACAGTCCCCCAAAGTTTTAACTCATTTCAGCACTAACTCAAATGTTCACAGTCCAAAGTCTCATCCGAAACAAGGCAATCCCTTCCACCTATGAGCCTGTAAAATCAAAAGGAAATTCATTACTTCCTAGATACAATGGGATTACAGGGATTGGGTAAATACTGTCATTCCAAATGGGAGAAATTGGCCAAAACAAAGGGAATAAAGGCCCCATGCAAGTCCAAAATCTAGCAGGGCAGCGAAATCTTAAAATTCCAAAATAATCTCCTTTGATGTCATGTCTCACATCCAGGACACACTGATCCAAGAGGTGGGTTTCCACAGTCTTGAGCAGCTCCAACCCTGTGACTTTGCAAGGTACAGCCTCTCTCCCAACTGCTTTCACAGGCTGGTGTTGAGTGTCTGTGACTCTTCCAGGTGCATTGTGCAAGATATAGGTGGATCTATCATTCTGGGATGGTGGCCCTCTTCTCACAGCTCCACTAGGCAATGCCCCAGTAGGGAATTTGTGTGGGGGCTCTGATCCCACATTTCCCTTCCACACTGCCCTAGTAGAGGTTCTCCACGAGTGCCCCACACCTGCAGCAAACTTCTGCCTGGGCATCCAGGCATTTCCATACATCTTCTGAAATGTAGGTGGAGGTTCCCAAACCCCAATTCTTGATTTCTGTGCACTCACAGGCTCAACATCACATGGAAGCCACCAAGACTTGGGGTTTGCACCCTCTGAAGCCATGGCCTGAGCTCTACACTGGCCCCTTTAGGCCACAGTTGGAGCAGCTAGGATGTAGGGCACCAAGTCCCTAGGCTGCACATAGGACAGGACCACTTTATCCTCCTAGGCCTCCAGCCTGCCGAGGGAGGGGCTGCCATGAAGACCTCTGACATGCCCCGCAGACATTTCCTCCACTGTCTTGGGATTAACATTCAGCTCCTCATTGCTTATGCAAATTTCTATAGCCAGCTTGAATTTCTCCTCAGAAAATGGGATTTTCATTTCTATCGTGCTTTCAGGCTGCAAATTTTCTGAACTTTTATGCTCTGCCTCCCTTATAAAACTGAATGCCTTTAACAGCACCCAAGTCACCTCTTGAATGCTTTGCTGCTTAGAAATTTCTTCCATCAGATATCCTAAATCATCTCTCTCAAGTTCAAAGTTCCACAAACCTCTAGGGCAGGGGCAAAATGTTGCCAGTCTCTTTGCTAAAACATAACAAGAGTTCCCAACAAGTTCCCCATCTCCATCTGAGACCACCTCAGCCCGGACTTTATTGTCCATATTGCAATCAGCATTTTGGGCAAAGCCATTTGACAAATCTAAAAAGTTCCAAACTTTCCCACATTTTCCCGTCCTTTTCTGAGCCCTTCAAACTGTTCCAACCTCTGCCTGTTAGCGAGTTCCAAAGTTGCTTCCACATTTTCGGGTATCTTTTCAGCAGCTCCCTACTCTACTGGTACCAATTTACTGTATTAGTCTGTTTTCATGCTACTGATAAAGACATACCTGAGACTGGGCAATTTACAAAATAAAGCAGTATAATGGACTTACAGTTTCACGTGTCTGGGAAGGCCTCACAATCATGGCACAAGGTGAAAGCCATGTCTTCTCACATGGCAGCAGACAAGAGAAGAGAGCTTGTACAGAGAAACTCCCATTTTTAAAACCCCACGAGACTTATTCACTACCACAAGAACAGCATGGGAAAGGCCCGCCTCATGGTTCAATTACCTCCCACCAGGTTTAATTACCTCCCACCAGGTTCCTCCAACCACACTTGGGAATTGTAGGAGTTACAATTCAAGATCAGATTTGGGTGGGGACACAGCCAAACCATATCAGTTACATTTATATAAAGTTCAAAAGCAGGCAAAAATAATTTATGGTAATAGAGGATGGAATAGTGATTACCTTTGAGAGGGTAAGAGACACTGACTGGAGGGGGCAGAAGAGAGCCTTTTTGAACACTAAAAATGTTCAACATATGGATTTGAATGATGACTACATGGATATTTACAAATATAAAAATTCTACACACTTAAATTTATCTATTTCTCAATAAAAATAATTTAAAGATACTTTCTCTAAACAAATTTTTAATTTTTTTTAGACAGTGTTTCGCTCTCACTCTGTCTCCCAAGCTAGAGTACCATGGTACTACCATCGTAGTTCACTGCAGCCTTGACCTCTTGGGCTCAAGCAATCCTCCTGCCAGCCTTGCAAGTAGCTAGGATTATAGACACTTACAACCAAACTGGGCTAATTTTTTTTTTTTTTTTTTTACTTTTGTAGAGGCAGGCTCTTGCCATATTGCCCAGGCTAATCTCTAACTCCTACCCTCAAGCCATCCACCCAGTTAAGCCTCCCAAAGTACCAGGATTACAGGCATGAGCCACCATGCCCAGATTAAACAATTTTTTTAAAGAAATTAGTAAGCTTTTTAGTTGGATCCCACAATAGGAATTAATCAAAAGGGAAAAAAGCATAAAGCCTTATACACAAAGATCTTTATTACAGACTTGATAATAGCAAAACACATTTAAACACCTTGAAATAACACTTAATAAACAAATGCCTGCCAACCCTTGATTTCTCTGGTGTGAGAGAAATTATTATTTGGCATCTGTCTGACACTAGCAGCCAAATCTTAATGCTGATTAACCCAAAGAAGCCATCTGCCCTGAGGGAAGAGCATGAACACAGACACCAAAGCAAAAAAGGGCTAAGCTATTCAAGACTGAAAGGAAAGAGACAAAAGCAAGAGATGAAGCCAGAGATGAAGCTAGAATATGGATAAGAAGTGAAAAGAAACAAAAATAACTGATTTTCATGGGCAGCAGAATTACTGAGACAGAAGCAGGTTGTACACTAAATACTCTAAATGTTTCTAAAAATAAATTATTCAAGAGCGTGTAGTACTTGGAAATGATCAAGCATTCCCAAGGAAAACTGCCCAATGCCCTATTAAATTAATAAAATATTTCTGCAATACAGTAGGAATAATTAAAAGGTACACAGCATATTACAATCTTTGTTGTATCTATTATTTGAGTTAATCTAAACAGTAACATGATATTAAAATATGTGCTAAAATTTGTGGAAGAAAAGGATGATTTTTTTAAAAACAACTTTTGAGAACAACCATTCTTTTACAAATTTTTTGCATATTTTCACTGCTTGTTTTATTCAACTGATTGAACAAAAGCAAATATTATCCATAGCATATTCATGTCCAATTCGGCAATCATTACGTACAATTTCAGGAAAAAGGAATAAGAGAATCAGTTTTTTAACAGGGTTTTTTAGCTGATAATTTAAACAAATAGAAACGAGCAACTATTAACAACCAAAAACAAATGAAAAACAGACCCAAAGAGTAAGCATTCCTTTTCCTTCAGAGAGATTCCACCTGATAGTTTTCTACGCTGTCTTATAGCAATCAACTATAGTTACACACTCATAAAAAAAATACCAAGGCAACCCTATGTTGTTTCTGTTACAGAAACTTTAGAGTTAAGAGGGAAAAAAAAAAAACAAACTTGAAGAACAGATATATAAAAGCACTCTAATTCACAAATGGAACAAATGATTTTTCTTTTTTTGAGACAATCTCGCTCTGTCACCCAGGCTGGAGTGCAATGGCACAACCTCGCAACCCCTGCCTCCTGGGTTCAAGTGATTCACCTGCCTCAGCCTCCTGAGTAGCTGAGATTACAGACATTTACCATCACACTCAGAATCTATTTTTGTATTTGGTAGAGACGGGGTTTTACCATGTTGGCCAAGCTAATCTTGAGCTTCTGGGCTCAAGCTATCCGCCCACCTCAGCCTCCCAAAGTGCTGGGATTACAGGAGTGAGCCACCAGGCCTGGCAGAACAAATAATTTGTAAAACTGTCTTGCTCAAAAAAACATTTTGTCTTGTCTCGCTCAACAAGAACTGCTGGTTCCTAACAGATGAACAAGAGGACAGAAAGTAGCAAAACGTGAAAGTGTTACAATTCTAACACTCAAAAAGAGAAAAAAAAATTACAGCTAGATCATTACATTTAGTTATGTGATAAACCCTCCAGGTTTCCTCTAAACCATTACATTGTTCTGTATCTACATTCAAGACCTTCAAAGATTAATTTGCATTATTAAGAGATTGGAAAAGACAAATTAAATTTCGGCAGTAAAATCTGTAAGAGATTCATTTTTTAGATGACAGAACTCAACGGTAAATACTGGCCAGGTGTGGTGGCTCACACCTGTAATACCAGCACTTTGTGAGGCTGAGGCAGGTAGATCACCTGAGGTCAGGAGTTTGAGACCAGCCTGGCCAACATGGTGAAACCCCATCTCTACTAAAAATACAAAAATTAGCCAGGCATTGTGGCGGGCATCTGCAATCCCAGCTACTTGGGAGGCTGAGGCAGGAGACTCCCTTTAAACCGGGAGGCAGAGGGTACGGTGAGCGAGAGCCTGCCACTGCACTTCATCCTGGGTGACAGAGAGAGACCCTGCCTCAAAATGAAAAAAGAACTCAGTGGTAAACATGACAATATTATGTTTGTTAATGGTGTTAATACAGCTAACAAGCATTGGGGGAAAAAACTGCATACAGGCTCTAAATCAGTTTAAATGATTTACATCGTAAGGCCGGTCTAGAGTCTCACATTCCAGCACTTTGGGAGGCTGAGGCAGATGGATCACCTGAGGTCAGGGGTTTGAGACCAGCCTGGCAAACATGGTGAAACCCCATCTCTACTAAAAATATAAAACTAGCCGGGAGTGGTGACAGGCGCCTGTAATCCCAGCTACTCGAGACGCTGAGGCAGGAGAATCACTTAAACCCGGGAGGTGGAGGCTGCAGTTAGTTGAGATTGTGCCACTGCTCTCCAGCCTGAGCAAAAAGTGTGAAACTCCATCAAAAAAAATTGCCAGGCGCAGTGGCTCACACCTGTAATCCCAGCACTTTGGGAGGCCAAGGCGGGTAGATCAACTAAGGTCAGGAGTTTGAGACCAGCCTGGCCAACAAGGTGAAATCCTGTCTCTACTAAAAATACAAAAATTAGCCAGGCGTGGTGGCAGGCAACTGTAATCCCAGCTACTTGGGAGGCTGAGGCAGGAGAATCGCTTGAACCTGGGAGGCGGAGATTGCAGTGAGCCCAGGGAGCACCACTGCACTCCAGCCTGGGTGACAGAGGGAGACTCCATCTCAAAAAAAAAAAAAAATTACAAGGTATATATGAAGATTCCCCTGCCCTAAAGTTTTCAGTCTATGAGAAGGCATAAATACACAAAATGCAAAATAATGTAAGACAAATAATGCAAAATTACAAGAGATGAGAAGTAGTATGGTTTCATAAATACAAAGAATTTGCATTAGAAGATCAAGGTTTGAGTCTTTGTTTTGCCCCCATCACTAGATGTTTGAATTTTGGTGCATATAGTCTAGGTGTATTTCAGTTTCCTTATCTAGAAAACACAAGGTTGGATTCCACCATTCCAGCAATAATGCTCTGAATCTATGATACAAGTCCACATGAGATTAAAAACCAAGGGAACAGTAAAACCACAAGGGTTATGGGTTTAAAGGAAAGCAACAGGCCAGGCACAGTGGCTTACCCCTATAATCCCATCACCTTGGGAGGCCAAGACGGGAGGATCACTTGAGGCCAGGAATTCAAAACCAGCCTGAGCAACAAAGTCAGACCCTATCTCTAAAAAAATAAAAATAAAAATTAGCCAGGCATTGATACATACCTGTATTCCTGGCCCTTGGGAGGTTCAAGTTACATGAAGAGCTATGATCAGGCCACTGTACTCCAGCTGGGGCAACAGAGCAAGACTCTGTCTTCAAAAAAAAAGGAAAAGCAACAACAAAACGAACAGGAAAAACATTTGGAAGGCTGCACCAAAGGACCAAAAGTGAAACTTAAACATTTTCCTTAATTTCCTACTTGGGAATTTAAGAGAAAAATATATTTTAAAGACTAGGCAACCTGGCCAGATGCAGTGGTTCATTCCTATAATCCCAGCACTTTGGGAGGCTGAGGCCTGTGGATCATCTGAAGTCAGGAGTTCAAGACCAGCCTGGCCAACATGGAGAAACCCCCATCTCTACGAAAAATACAAAATTAGCCGGGCATGGAGGTACGCACCTGTAATCCCAGCTACTCGGAAGGCTGACACAGGAGAATCACTTGAACCCAAGAGGGAGAGGCTGCAGTAAGCCACGATGGTGCCACTGCACTCCAGCCTGGGCAACAGAGTGAGACTCCACACAAAAAAGAAAAAGTATTGATATGAAGGTAGAAAAATACAAAGGGTAAATAAGAACTAGAGATTGGTTTCGTTAGAATGGACAGTTCCTATAAAGAAACAGTGCTGGCACTGATTAAAGAAAAAAAAGAAAGTGCTGGCACCAGAAAAATAGGTTTGAGCAGACTGTTAGAAGGCTATGAATTCTGAACTATACTCTGAAGACAACAGGGAGCTATCACTGGTTTTTGAAAAATGAAGGATGTGTTTGAAGCATTATTCTAAGATTTAGGCAGGACACACTAAGTAGAGAGAAAAGCCAAGCAGAAAACCCAATTAAATACTAGTGAGTAGTTCAAAGACAAAAATGGCTGGCAAAAAATCGGCCAATATTGTTAATGTGCTTCGAGATAAAACCAAAGTTTGTATCCGGGTAATTGAAAACGTGGTAATGTCAACAAAACAAAGTCAGCATATGAAATCAGTTTTAAAGTGAAGACTAGTTCTCTTTGTTACAGTTTAAGGTGCGGATCAGCCAGACATAACTGTTGCCTTAATCTTTAAATGTCATATTTAGCCCTGTGGTCTTCTTAACATCATGGTATTTATAGAGAATTTGTTAAATGCTCAGTGATTTCAAGAGTTCCCTTCAGTTTTACTTATCAATGAAATAATCATTTAATTTTCCAGTACAGATAAAGAATGTTTGTATTTTTCCATATTATAAAGGTAAATTCTAAAAATTATTAAAGCTTAATTTAAAAAATGAACTGCAGCCGGGCGCAGTGGCTCACGCCTGTAATCCCAGCACTTTGGGAGGCCCAGGCCAGCGGACCATTTGAGGTCAAGAGTTCAAGATCAGCCTGGCCAACATGGTGAAACCCGTCTCTACTAAAAATACAAAAAAAAAAAAAAAAAATTAGCTGGGCATGGTGGCACACACCTGTAGTCCCAGCTGCTGGGGAGGCTGAGCATGAGAATCACTTGAATCCAGGAGGCAGAGGTTGCAATGAGCCAAGATCATGCCACAGCACTCCAGCCTGGGCAACAGAGCCAAGACTCAATCTCGAAGAAACCGAGAAACATAAAGTATCACTTAATATCACTTTTCTTTAACTTTATTTTCCTTTTTAAATTTTTTTTTTTTAATTTTCTAATTTAAAGACAGAGTCTCACTATATCGCCCAGGCTGATCTCAAACTCCTGGACTCCAGCTATCCTCCCATCTTGGCCTCCCAAAGTGCTGGGATTACAGACTTTAACTACCTCTCCTGGTCTCATTCAGTATCTAACAAAACATTACAGGTAGGTTTCAAGTTTTATTTACATGGACCTGAAAGCACTGCAGAAACCTGGACAAAAGATAATGCCTAGAAAAATAAGTACACATTTTAAAATTTAATACATGAACCAACGGCTAGCAGATCTGAACATTCTGCAAACTATCTTTATGGATATTACAGCCAATTCCCACAGACCACAATGTTCCCAAAGAAGAAAGCCTCAGGGCTTGTGGTCAAGATGAAAAGAAAGTACCATTTATTAACCAATATATATTACTATCAAGTTGTGAATGGAATGCCTATTTAAGAACATCACCGACTCCATCCCCACAAGAAAATAGTGTTTCAAAAAAGAAAAGAACAAACGTTGAAAATTACCAAGCAAACAAAACTTTCTTCTTGGGTTACTTCCCCGTTTACTGTGTGACCTCGCTGAAGGCCGAGAGTTTAGACACAGTGGTTTCCAGGTGCTGAAGAAATCGTTATTGTTGGTTTGCCGTAAGTCTATCCAAGGAAGATTTTTAAAATGAGTACTTCGGCTGGGCATGGCGGCTCACGCCTGTAATCCCAGCGCTTTGGGAGGCCAAGCCAAGCGGATCACGAGGTCAGAAGATGGAGATCATCTGGCCAACACGGTGAAACTCCATCTCTACTAAAAACACAAAAATTAGCTGGGCGTGGTGGCCTGCGCTGGTAGCCCGGCTACTCGGGAGGCTGAGGCAGGAGAATCGCTCGAATTCGGGAGGCGGAGGTTGCAGTGAGCCGAGATCGCACTACTGCACCCCAGCCTGGCGACAGAGCAAGACTCTGTCCCAAAAAAAAAAAAAAAAAACCATCAGCAACAACCAAAAAAAATGAGGACCTCTTGGCCAACACTTACCCGTTTTGGAGCAGACATTGAGCTGCTGCTCTGCTCCCCTCCCAAAGAGGAGTTGGAAAATTCTTCTTAACCTCATTCTTTCACAATTCCTAAGGCTTCTTACCTAATATAACGTGTAGAATTATTTTCAGTTGACTCCAGGTCCATCAGTTTGACACCAAGAGCCTTCCTACTGTTACGTCCTAAGCCCTGAACAAATCCAGCTTCCTCAGCTTCTAAAGGCAAATTTAACTTACATGTTAACATACAAGAAACGTTACAAAACCTACCGAGATAATTTTTTTACCAAACATATTACAACTCAAGTCAAAAGTTTACACCCCCAGCAACTCGCGTACGAATGTGAAGCAAGTCCGGACGTTTAAAGTCAAAGTCCCGGACCAGAAAACGGCCGGCGGGTGGGGGGAGGGGCGAGGGCGCGTCCCGAAGATGTCCACCCTCAGCACCGCTCAGGCTGCCGCCCCCCCCCCTCGGGCTGGAGGTGAGAGCGTCCTCCCTTCTACCACGTCCCTACCTTCCCGGCCTTGGATTACGCCACAGCTGGCAACAGGACTTTTTCAGGAGAAAACAGACAAGCCGGCGAGCGCGCCGCACACTCGACCTCCCAGCCTCGCAGGGGCGGCCGCCGGGCTCTAACCCCAACGCAGCGCTCCAGGGGCTGACAAGGAGGCCACGGGTTCCCGCTCCCTGGGGCAGAGACCCAAGGGTCTCGCGAAATCCCAGTGCAGAAGTCCGGGTCCCGCCACCAGCAGCCTCCGCGCCCCCTCCGGCTCAGCTGCGAGCCTGCAGACGGCGCCCCCGGGGCAAACTCAGCGGGGGAAGAGGAAGCGACGCAGCGAGTAACAGGCTGTGAGGACGGGCAGCGGACTGAAGGACGGGGGTGTGTGTGTGTGTTGGCCTCCCAGCAAGGCCATCTCACCCTCCCGCTTCCGAGCCGGCTAGCCGCAGCTCACCTGAGGAAGGCACCGGGACGCCGCCGCGGCCGCCGTGATGGCAGTAACGGCACGAGGCCTGCGTTCCACCGCCGCGTAGCTCTCGGGAGAGGGGCGGGGCACGCGCGGTGGGCAGGCGGATCCGCGCGGGCAGGAAACCCACTCCCGACCCAATCTGATAGGTTCAGTCGCCCCCTTTCCCGGTCCCTGACGAGACAGTAGTCTGTGCCGCACTGGGATTGGGCGGGCCCACATGTCAATCAAGCGCCGTTCGTTGTGTGGAAGGCGCTGAGGCTGCGCAGCGGAAAGAGAGAAGACAGCGAGAGGGTGAGAAGCGCTGGGCCAGACCACGACTGTCTTCGGTTTTCCCTCTGCGGTTGCTCTGGCTGGTTACTTTGAGCCTTCCTCCTTAGCGCTGCAGGAGAGACTCTACAGCAAAAATGACTGCGTCCTGAGCTAAGCCCCCACTGTTCTGGGAGCCTCCCACTGGTTTCTGCACCTGAAGAATGTCTTCCCAACCGAAGGTGCTTAGGAGCAGGGAGGGACAAAGAAAAACAAATAAAAAGACCTGGAAACTGGGACCTGGGAGAAATGTGGCTTTTTTTTTTTTTTTTTTTTTTTTTTTTTTTAATATTTTTTTTTTTTTTTTTTTTTTTTTTTTTTCTGAAACAGTCTTGCTCTGTCGCCCAGACTGGAGTGCAGTGGCGTGATCTCGGCTCACTGCAACCTCTGTCTCCCGGGTTCAAACGATTCCCCGCCTCAGCCTCTTGAGTAGCTGAGACTACAGGCGCGCACCACCACGCCCGGCTAATTTTTTGTGTTTTAGCAGAGACGGGATTTCACCATGGCCAAGATGCTCTTGATCGCCTGACCTCGTGATCCGCCTGCCTTGGCTTCCCAAAGTGCTGGGATTACAGGCGTGAGCCACGGCGCCTGGCCGACTTGTGTTAATTTGAGGCACAGACCAAAATCGGCTGAGTCTGAGGTCCCTCTAAAAGTACCCTCGTGCTTGGACAGCTTCCAGTCTTAGCGACAGTAGTGTTATGAAGAGGATCGTCGGAGCCAGGTCTGCCCATTATAAGGTCTCCAGCCACTGGTTAAAGCATCAGTAAGTGTGCTGCAAACCCCAGTAACCTTTTTTTTTTTTTTTTTTTTTTTTTTTCAGACGGAGTCTCGCTCTGTCGCCAGGCTGGAGAGCAGTGGCGCGATCTCGACTCACTGCAACCTCCGCCTTCTGGTTTCAAGCGATTCTCTCCCTCAGCCTCCCGAGTAGCTGGGACTACAGGCGCGCGTCACCACGCCCGGCTAATTTTTGTATTTTTAATAGAGACGGGGTTTCACCACGTTGGTCAGGATGATCTCCATCTCTTGACCTTGTGATCCTCCTGGCTCGGCCTCCCAAAGTACTGAGATTACAGGCGTAAGCCACCACACCCTGTCGCCTCATTTCTTCTTAACAATCTTTGTGGTTCAGTTTAGGGTCGCTCCTCAGGGAAGCTTGCCGAGTTAGGTATCCTTGAGCACAGGTATTTTCTCCATCCGAGCTATTCAAATGGCTTGCCTGTATCCCTACCTAGATTGTAAACTCCATTGAATCAGGAACCATGTCTGTTCAGTTTCTCCCTACGACCTTGCACATGGTAGATGGTCAGTAAATTTTAAGGCATTAATACTTTTTACTTTAATCCTGGCCCTAGCTATCAGCCTCAAAAGTTTGCAGTTTTCTGCATTTAACTTCAAAATTGAGTGGTAATGCATGCATGGGGTTGGCCTGTGCTGTAATTTAGATGTTTGTCCCCCTAAACCTCCTGTTGAAATTTGATACCCAATGTTGGAGGTAGGCCCTAATGGGAAGTGCTGGGTCATAGAGGTGGTTCCTTCATGAATAGATTAATGTCCTCCCTGGGGAGGAGGTAAGTGAGTTATCTTTATTTCTGCCAGAGCTGGTTAAAAAGAACCTGGCACTTCCTTTCTTCTCGTGCTTCCTCTCTGGCCATGTAATCTCTGCATAGACCAGCTCTCCTTTGCCTTCTGCCATGAGTGGAAGCAGTCTCAGGTCCCCATTAGATGCAGATGCTCAGTCTTGAACTTTTCCAGACAGAACCATAAGCCAAATAAATCTTTTTTATTTATAAATTATCCAGCTTTGGGTCTTCCATTCTAGCAACATTAAAGGGACTAAGACAGTCTGCCATATGTAGAGTCACAAGGTCAGGCACAGATTTACCTGTTTATGCTCAGGTTGGCTGGGACAAGTATACCGTGAAACTGGGCAACAGCTACTCTATGTCTATATTCTATTATTTGCATCCAAAGTGAATAATGGAGGTGAATTTTGAGTTTATTCTAAGGGTTTAAATAACTTTGCATATTTTATCATTACTGGTATGGGTTAAATTGCATCCCCCCTAAAATTCATATACTGAAGCCCTCACTCCTAATGTGACTATACAGATGTTCCTCAACTTACAAAGGAGTTATATTCCAATAAACCCACTGTAAATTGAAAGCACCATAAGTTGAAAAGATCATAAGTCAAAAATGCATTTAATGCTTCTAACCTACCAACCATCATAGCCTAGCCTAGCCTACCTAAAACATGCTCAAAATACTTACATTAGCCTTCAGTTAGGCAAAATCATCTAACACAAAGCTTATTTTATAATAAAGTATTGAGTATTTCACATAATCTATTAAATACTGTACTGAATGAAAAACTGGATGGTTATATGGGTACTCAAAGTACGGATTCTAGAGTGCCTATGGCTTTTGCACCATCATAAAGTCAAAAAATCTTAAGTCAGGGACAATCTCTATTTGGAGCAAGGCCTTTATGAAAATAATAAAAATTAAATTAGGTCATAAGGGTGGGGCTCCAATCCTAGAAGATTAATGTCTTTATAGAAAGTGGCACCAGAGAGCTCTGTCCATTTGAGAACACAGGAAGAAGACAGACATCTGCAAGCCAGGGAGACAGCCCTCACCCAAAACTGACCATGCTGACACCCCCTTTTGGACCTCCCAACCTACACAACTTTGAAAAACTTCTGTCGTTTAAGCCACCCAATCTAGTATTTTGTTATGGCAGCCCAAACTAATACAATGGTTTTCTTATTTGTTGATATATTTTATAAAGTTTACAGATTGAGATATTAATATGATATTCATTTTTTAAGAAAGCGTTGTCAAGAGTTAAAACTATCTCTGCAAAATCATGCAGCAAATTTAGCACGGTTTGACTCAATTTTTTTTTTCTCTGAGAGGGAGTTTTGCTCTTGTTGACCAGGCTGGAGTGCAATGGTGCAGTCTTGGCTCACCATAACCTCCATCTCCTGGGTTCAAGCAATTCTCCTGCCTCAGCCTCCCGAGTAGCTGCGATTACAGGCATGCGCCACCACCCAGCTAATTTTTTGTGTGTATTTTTAGTAGAGATGGTGTTTCTCCATGTTGGTCAGGCTGGTACCTAAACTCCTGACCTCAGGTGATCCACCCACCTCGGCCTCCCAGAGTGCTAGGATTACAGGCGTGAGCCACCATGCCCAGCCTCAATTTTAATTCTGATTACATATTTAACATAATGGAGGCAGAAGGTGTGAATACAAATACAACAGGTACAGAAATACAGTTCTGGCCTTCCTGTAGCTTACCACCACGTTAAGTAGGGAAAATTAACCCAGAAAAAAATATGCTTAAGTCATACATTTAGTTTTTTGGGGTTTTTTTGTTGTTGTTTTTGTTTTTTGAGATAGAGTCTTGCTCTGTCACCCAGACTGGAGTGCAGTGGTGCAACTCAGCTCACTGCAACCTCCGCCTCCAGGGTTCAAATGATTCCCCTGCCTCAGCCTCCCAAGTTGCTGGGACGACAGACATGCACCACCACACCCAGCTAATTTTTTGCATTTTTAGTAGAGACAGTGTTTCACCATGTTGACCAGGCTGGTCTCAAACTTGTGACCTCAGGTGATCCACCCACCTCAGTCTCCCAAAGTGCTGGGATTACAGGCATGAGCCACTGTACCCAGTCAGTTTATCCTCTTACTTTTTCTTCTTTAATCTTCCTCATCACTCATTCTTACCAGGTACTCTTAAGAAATAATTTAAGAAACCTCCAAAAATATATGCAAAAGACAAGTCAAAGAAGAAAAATAAGGAAACAGCAATGAAAAAGGAAAGCATAGACTGGAAGGGCAGATAGGCAGAAAGGCATATATGAAATTGAAATTAGAAGGGATGCAGTTCATGTTTTCATGAGGTGGGAGCTGTCCCAGAGACTTCCTTTCACACAGTCTGTCTCCCTAACTTCCAAATATAAACATGCACATGGCTGCTGCTTCCTGTCTTTCAGGGGAACTCAAACCAAAAACAGGAATCAAACTTGCTAATTAGTGCTGAGAGGATCAGGGACTAACCACAATCAGGCAACAAGAAAATGTTAAGTCAAAACTTGTGATTGACCCTGGCAACAGAGCTACAATTTAAAAAAAAATTTTATGATCACACCACTGCACTCCATCCTGGGTGACAGAGTGAGACCCCCACACAATAATAGCGGGAGACTTCAACATCAATATTAGATAGATCAATGAGACAGAATGTTAACATCGATATCCAGGACTTGAACTCAGATCTGGAACAAGTAGACTTAATTAACATGCAGAGAACTCTCCACTTTAAATACACAAAATATACACTCTTATCAGTACCACATCACACATATTTACAGGTTTAAATGAAATATTGGTTGGCTGCTTGTTAATTATTTTCTTCCTTCTTTTTTTTTTTTTTAATGTCTCTATTATTAATACAATTACAGGCATACCCAGTTTTAGACTGCATTCTAGCCCGGGCAATAGAGCAACACCCCTGTTCTCTCTCCCTCTTCCTCTTCCTCTTTCTTCCTTTCCTT